ATTTACAGTAAAATAATTTAAAAAATTCTAAGTTACCCTGGACTTCAGCTATCATAGCCCGTGCATAGATCCTCCCCTGAGTGTTGTAGAGTGTTAATGCAGCTATCAATACTGTTTTTTCATTATCTTAATAACACCATAAATTGGGGTGTTATGCGTCATATGAATGTGTAATCCCAATCTCTACCAAAAGTATTTTCTTCAATCCCTGTGTGTTATATTTTTAACTGAACAAGTTTTTTTTTTCTCTTTTTTTTTTTTGTAAATTTCCCCATTTCAAAGTATAAGATTTCCTTTTTTTTTGGAAAAATAAGATGTCCTATTATAACACGTTGCTTTTTAATATCTTTAATATTACTTTGGAATGTTTTAATAGACATTTATTTTGCTTCAACTTAAATTTTGTGATCTTCTCTAGTATATTTACTAGTAAATAGTACTACCTCCGTTCCATATTGGTTGTCCACTTTCAATTTAGTACGATTATTAATAAAGTGGTTGAAAAGTAAAAGTTGTAGTTGAAATTTGAATAGAATAAAGTGAAATGATAAGAACCACACATTTCTTGCCAAAAAAGGGAAACATGACATTCATTTTGGGACAACCCAAAAAGGAAAGTAGGACAACCAAAATGAGACGGAGGGAGTAATATTATGTGTATAATATTAACTCGTCTGAGTTGATTTAGTCTATCAAATAGTACGCTATAATTTTGCTTTAACATTTATTTTCCCCCTAATATTACTAAATAAAAGTTGTTTTCCAAAGATGTGATCATATTTACATTTGGACAAAAATGTGACTAAAATAAAGTGACCGTCAAATTCACGTCATTACCTAATTCTCGTGTCACTTTCAAAAGTCACTACCGCCATGTCACTATCGTCTTCATAGCCGTATCACAACCACAGTCACCGATCACCGCCACCGGTCACTACCGCCGACCATAGTGACACCACCACTGACATGCCAAACCCGCTTCAACGACATAGGTCAGTTATAGTTATAGCTTAATTTTCAACCAAATCTTTCCTGCCAACATGTGACACCTGACCCGAACTTCCTTGAAAATTCAATTTAAAATTCAAAGTTTATGTATTGAATTTCCGGTTTACCAAACGAGTATAAAACAATTTATGTTTTACGTAGTGCAGGATTGAATATTGTACTGTTCAAACTCGTATATTAGTGTCGGGTTTTGCAAATACTTATTTGGGCCTTACTAATGAACATAAGAGCCCAACATTACCTAAATAATGTTACTTAACCTTTCAAGACAAGTTGAGGAAGGTCGAGCGGCCCAAACATTATTTTGGGCCCAACCTGCTAAAATTAGCAAGTATTCGAGAATGGCGTCCTAGGCCCACTCGGGGGTGACCCACACGGCTAGTAGTCCATTTATATGAATGACAAATGTCAAAATAAGTGATAGAATGATTAGAGAAGAATACAAATGTCTATGGTCCCATGTTTGACATTATTGAGCTAAATAATGGGAGTAGGATTTTTCCTTCTATAATATTCATCATGTATATGAGGATTTGAGCATATTAGCGATTTTAAATAATGTTTTGAATTTTTCAATACTCATTTTGTAAGTCCTGTATGCTCATTTGGTACAACATTATGCTCATTTTAAAATGTAAGTGAAGTAGAAGACATGGTAATAGAGGCCATAATACTCAATTGCAGATTTTTAATACTCAATAGATTAAGCTTAATTCTCAATGAAAATGTATCGATATTCAACTAGTAGAACGTACAATTTTCATATCAATGCATATTTAAGAAGTGCAATATTAAATTAAATTATCATATTGGAATTCATAATAGTTGATTATAGATATAATTTAATGGTTTTATAAAAATAAAAAATAAGAAAATGAAAGTGAATCAAAAGATATGAATCAGAGATCATGATGCTCAATATTAGACTCTTAATACTCAACACAATAGTTTTGATGCTCATTAGAAGTGTATTAATGCTCATCTGACGAATACCGCGATTTTCACTGAAATTACGAAAATGCCACCGTTTTTTAGTTGTGATATCAGCTTTCTTGTAATAACACGGTGTTCATTATTAGACGCTTAATACTCATTAAAATGGGACTATTGCTCATTAACAGTACACTAATGCTCATTTAGCAGAAACCGCGATTTCTACATTAATTACAAAAATGCCACCGAATTATTTTGCTATTTTTCCCTTAAGCCTGTTACTGGGCCGGCTGTACGATGCTCACCGTACAGCCGGTAGCCGGTTGTATAAGATACATACTCACGACTTGTGAGGGATGGTTAACAGATTAGGTTACATTTTTGAGAAATTTTAAAATGGTCATATTTTTATATGTGAAACCTTGTATGTAGGTAATACTTGTGCCATTATTTCTTAAATTTGATGTGAAATTAAACTAGGCCACACGAAAACATTCTTACATAGTTACACACCTAATTGACTTCCCTTTCTTACCGATGACAACACTATGCTACGTATTACGGAGTATTATACGAAGTATTTTCATTAGTTACTGAGTTACTCCGTACGTTCTTCCACACCTCATGCAAAAATGGGTTGTTTAATTGTAACATCCGATGCAAAAAAAAGGATTTGTTAAAGATCTGTTATAGTTTTCAAAAAAAAAAAGATCTGTTATAAAATTCGTAGTGACAAAGCAATCTCATCACCAGGGGCGGAGCCAGAAAAATGACTCAGCGGGGTCGAAATCAAACTTACAGAATCAAAACGGTAAATTATTTTTAGACAATACCCGAATTGAATGTAGCTAAGATAAATGATAGTTTAAATGAAACTAATAGAGTATATGTAGTTAATATACTTCGTATATGTCACATATATTATAAACTTGTTTTATACGGGTTGAGTTGAGTACCTCAAATGAGACTCGTTGTCTTACCCTAGTATTCTATGGTTCTCTTTGATCTTACTCGATTTAGTATCAAGATTTCTTACTAGAAAAGAATCATTTATTGAGTAGGCACTCGTAGTAGTAAGATATGTTGTCTTTGCTCTGTCCCTAAGTCATGTCACGTAAGTAACGAATGAATTACACGCTATTTTGTGAATATAATTAATATTACGCATCACAATTTTACTAATTTCAAACTTAAATAGTGCTGATTTTGCGGTAGTCATAACTTTTTACTCGTAATGAGTTACGAAAGCCATAATATATCAAATCGAAGATATTTCAGAGTTCTACACTCTTAAATTTTCAGCGGGGTCGGCTGACCACCCTGACCCCCTAGTAGCTCCGCCCCTGCTCATCACCTAATTTTGCCATGAATCGTTAACAAATCGGCAACATTTAGTGAACAGGCTAGTATATGTGTGCTTGACAAATAGTTATACGTAGTATAAGTTAATTAGAGTATAGTTAAGCATCTTGAAGAATGTTTTAATCTTAATTTGAACTTATTTGGGTCCAAGAAAAGAACATACCAAATCAGATTTAAAAAGACTGGCCTGATCAAACCAGAATTAAACAGATCAATTCTCGACAGTTATATATTGAGACCAAACATTTGTCTAACCATAGCATATATATTGGATCAATTCAAACCAAACTAGACCATATAACTACATCATAACATTTCAGTTCAATTAAAAATATCGATCCTAACTTTAGGTAGTTAATAACACTTTAGACAGTATGTATACTATTTACTACATTTGTTTTACTCATATTTTATATTTGTTCATTAAGATAGCAACATGAGAAAGTGATATGGGCTTAAGGCTGTTAAAAAAGATAATTACGTGAGTATTTTAGTTATTAGATATGGAAATATCTGAATCAAAAGAATACTACAAACATACAATTGTTGACAATTAGTACGATATTAGACAAGTTAAGTAAAGTTGACAATTAGTACGATATCAGTACTAATTGTTGACAATTAGTACTAATACGTTGTGAAAAAAGACAAAATTCACAAAAATAATCTCTACTTTTAGGTATTCTATAATAATAATTCCTACTGAAAATATTCATAAAATTAATCCAAACTAGCAATAGTGTCCACAAGAATACATTGAGATAAAATTAAAATTATTTCTCATTTAAGTCTTCCAAACCTTACCACTGCTTTCCCTTTCACCACACTTCTTTTCGAGTAATACTTTTATCTTCTATTCTAGAAAGAGCCGCATATAGCTGAAATGACATTAAGATTAAATGGGTTCTAGTTTTAATTCACTTCGATAAGAAGGGGGTGAAGAGAAAAGTGAGAGTACAGATCAATAATATTAAACGGCCATTAATTTGAATTCACCCCAATTTATCCATATTGCTAGTTCGGATCATTTTTATAGACACTCTCAGTGGGAATTATTATTGTAGAATCTATAAAAGTAAGGATTATTCTTATGAATTTCGCCAGAAAGAATGATACTCATATGTGATGCCTCATATGACCAATCGAACATTTATTTAGAGAATGTAAATTGTATATGAAAAAGAGTGGATTTTAAGCCCAATTTTTTATTATCTAGAATTGAAGTCCGATCTGTCTCTTAACCCTCACAAGTATAAATGAAAATAGATGAAAAATAAGACCATACAATTAATGGGCTTGGAATATGATTTTCTTATAGTTCTTGTGGGTAGCTGCTGTACTCTTTCTCAGATGGATTATTTTTTATAGACCTATAAATGTCATTTGACATAATGAGCTCCAACAAGAAAAATAACTCCACGTTAAATGCTTTGTTAATACTACCTCCGTAACATTGGGATGTTCCCATTTGAAAAGTAGATAGATTTAGAATAGTGAAAGGAGATATGTATTATTAGGGGTATGATGGGAAGATAGTGAAATAATGTGATGGAATGAAGGATAAATCCAAAAAAAGTAGGTGTAATAGTGTATTATTTTTAAAATTATTGAGGGTATGATGGGAAGATTTAGAAATGGGAAGATATTAGTGTTACGTCCAAAAAAGGAAAGTGGGAAGATATTTACGTTATGGAGGTAGTATACATTCTATTTCGAGACCCATGGTTGACAGATAGGATTTTTATTGGTTCCATTCATTGGAGTATATCTTAGTATGGTCCGTATGGAGAAGATAATATTCTTGGTGTTTCCAGAGCTTCTCTACAAGACAAAAACCTTCTGAACCATATGAAAAAAACAAACAAAGAAAGTCATTTCCATGTCGGTGATGCAACATTTGGATTTCAATAATGCTGTCACCTATTTTTATATATTTGGAAATTTCCGTGAAGTTAAATAGGATCATCCATGGCTAGCTTAGTCTTCATTATGAACAGAGAGAAACAGGGGAGGGAGTAAATATATAAAGGTATAAGTGAAGTTTTGGAAAAACAGCAATGGCGGCGAGATCACAGACTAGAACAGAGCTCCAAATATCGAGAAGATGGGAAGATATAAGCTCCGAGCAACCCCAATTCTGGTCGGAGCCGCCACGAGATAATCCGGACCGCCGCCAGGCTGCCGTCGTCTACTACCTCTCTCGAAACGGCCAGCTCCAACACCCCCATTTCATGGAGGTCCCCTTTTCTTCCTCTCAAGGTCTCTATCTCAAAGGTAATCAAATCTAGACTCGGGCAAACAAAATTCAAATCCCCTATGTAGCACGGAAAACCTCAAAAACAGGAAATAGTACGTTTCGGAAACTCAACAAAAACTCTTTAAAAACTCTTCAAATGAGTGTTTTTTGAGCAATGCTTTTTGAGCAAAAATTGACGTTTCTCATTTCCCGGATATTCGCGTATCCTATACGTAGAATCCTTCAATTGAATCTCTTACTACATGTATTTTGAACTCAGATGTGATCTGCCGCTTGAATTCCCTCCGCGGAAGGGGAATCGCTTCCCTATATTCATGGTCGGCGAAAAGGTGAGCTTCCCTCATCTTCAATTTCACCTTCTTTTTTTACACATTAATGAGATTGGATCTGAATGGCCAAACCTTTGAGCTTAATTTCAGGAGATACAAGAGCGGATTCGTCTGGCAAGATCTGGAGGAGGAGGATTTGATATACCCAACTCACGACCATGAATATATACTCAAGGGATCGGAGCTCAGGGATGAAGCATTGACGCCTCCGCGCGAAGATTGCGACCTCCCGGCGGCGGCGGCGGCGGAGAGGAGTCCTGGTAAACGGATGCTTGGGATCGAGGGAGTAAAGGAAGAGGCGGAGGCGGAGGAGATGTTGAGTCAGAGCCAGAGAACGGAGCTGAGCAGAGGTGAGATTTCGCCGCCGCCGCAGTCGGGTTCGAGTCCGGAGACGCTGGAGCGGTTGCTGAAAGCGGACGGCAGAGTGGTGTTGGTCAACGAAAGTCAAACCGAGGAAAAATTTGAGGCTGCAATAAACAAGTCTTCATCTTCTTGTTTTAGATTACGCTCCCTTTTCTATTAGTAAGTGATTTGTAAAATATGTTGGCTCATATATGTACCAAAATTAAAATAATTTTGGCATTCTGATTCATAGTCCATTCATGTGGAGTATAATGTTCTCTTCTTTTTCCATTCCTTGACATGCTTATTCTTTGAATTGTGCACAAACCTTTTGGTACAATGAATCCCAAATCCTTTGGAACTCTAGAAGGTATGAAAATAAAATAGAGACATAAGTGGAAAACAAAAGAGAAATTTGACAAAAAAAACTGATTTAAAATCTGCAGTCATTTAATATATCCGTTCAATATAAACCCATTTTTCCTTGGATTAATTTTATCTAGATCTACAAGATTAGAATAATAGAAATATGCTTTGTGTCACATAGAAAAGTACAAAAAGTATTGAAGTACATGAGATAATGTCAATAATGGTCACCTATCGATTATTAATATAGGGACCATGAAATATATCCTTTCATAAAATATTATTTTCCTTCACATGCATCTTCTAAATTATCATCAAACAAATAACCATTTTTTCTATCCATATTAATTTTCACAAGGAATTGCTATTGAAATAATGTCTAAGGTGGGAGCCATTATTTACCACTTAATTATAAACACGGCTTATTTGTTCAATAAATAGACTGATTTAATCATTAAGCTGTGAAAAAACACCTATTCCCATTAAGATGCTCATTAGGGCGGGTTGAATCGGGTTTGCTATATTTTTTGGGTCTACCCGATTTATTCGGGTTGGCTATTAACCAACCCGCGGTACGCAAAATAAGTTGGTAAACCATGCATGAACGGGTCGGGTAGGGTCGGGTATTGGGGGGGAAAAAATCACTCCGAGTTGCGTTTTTCATGTGGGAAATTAATGTAACTAATTTAAAACCTGATTAACTTGTTTCCAAAACACACAAACAAATACAAGTACTCGTATCTTTTATAAGCAAAAACATTAGGTAATAGTATTAAAACATCCTTCCGTAAAGGAAGTTCATTTAGGAGGAAACGTAAATATATAATAATCACCTAGTCAAAATGTTAAATGTTTAATTATAATTCTAATATCATAAAGTCCTAGATAGAGCACATTGATCTTAAATTGAAATTATCCAAGAAAACGTTGTAGCATAATAATAGTAAAATGAACTTCGGCCGGGTCGGGTACTATCGGGTTTGAGATTTTAATTCCGCAACCCTACCCATTAGGTGCGGGTTCAAACATATTTAACCCATGAATATTTTTAAAAATCAAATACCCGATTAAATAGGGCCGGGTAGGGTTGGGTCGGGCGGGTTATGCGGGTTCGGGTTATTCTTGTGCAGCCCTAATGCTCATGAAGACATCTATTTAGCCAGTTTGTTATATGAATATGGAATAGATAAACGATAAATAATGACATCATTCATTGTCAATATAACTTGATAACAATATTAAATTGATTAATTTATTCTATTCAGATGGTTCATTCAACACACAAAACAAACAACTTCATATACAAACATTAATTAATTCAGATAGACGTCTTAATCGAGATAGGACTTAATAGGAAAAAAAAAAGTAAACTGCTCTTACATGTGTTCCTACATATATTGATACTTGACCAAGTGAGCTTGGACACTGGTTGGAAAAGTAAACTCGAATCGGTTTGACGGTCTGCTAAATCACCAATGCTCATGTATCTATCACTGCGCACAAGAAAATTCTCTCAAATTCATCGCGGTGAAGAACTCAAGACCTCCTATATGTGAAAGATCTTAAATGTTAAATGTGATCTGCTTGAACAACTTCCACAAGTCGGTCTTGTAGCATTGTTTTCTACTACACCATGCTTTTGTTTTTGTTTAAACATATAATGTTAAATATATGTGACACATGTGACACATGTTTTTAAAATTAAATTCATGATTTTAAAATACGCATGTATATTTTTGTCTATGTGAGGGCAGAGGGGGTTATTTAATTCAAGATAAACATTGATCAAGAAATTAAGTGCTCAAATTTTATACTCCGTATATCGAGTGCATTTTGGGTGATAGTCATAAAATTAAAATTCCATACTAGAGGATTAAGTTTGGATCACAAACAAATTCTTTAAACACAACATTCAAAATTTTGTTGCTTGTATGTTCAATTCGTCTGCGTTTGAAATTAAATATTATATCTCTTCCTATTGATTATTCCTGAAGAAGAAACATAAAGTTGTGTGTTACTAAAACGGGGTTTTCAGTAACAAGCGAATACGAGATAACGAATGTCTTTTATTTTTAGGCTTTGTTTGCAACCAATTGTGCTTAAATAAAAGCACTTTTTGGGAAAAAGTGATTAGTGGTAAAAGTTGGCAGCGTTTGGTAAAATAAATACTTTTTGTGTAATATAAAAAGTAAAAAGTAGATTCTATACGAAAATCGAGAAAGTAAAAGTTGATAGTGTTTGGTAAAACAAGTGTTTTTCTCTTTAAAAAAACCAAAATCACTTTTCTTAAGTGATTGTAAACAAGCTTGTAGCATTTGCAATCATTTTTTGACATTGTCATATTTGGGCCACTATATCAATTTGACATCAAAAGGTGCAATTGAAAATTTTAGAACTAGAACTCCTTGGCCTACACTAACACAAGTGAGAAAAGTTTCCCCTCTAAGACATGATCCCCATGTTTAATCGATACAAGTTTTTTTTAATCAATACAAGTTAAAGAACTAATATGTTTAAGACACGAATCAGAGATACTCCACGATTGAGTATTCGAGAGATAAACCAAGTCTTTTATCTCATTGATTAAAATGTCAAATTGTCAACCCCAGTCTCTTTGGGACTCCCTACGATGTGGTAGAATATATGTTGGGAGAAAGACCAAAATTGACACTAAGGTTGTTTTCTAAATTCATATTGGACACTAAACTTTTAAGTGGACCAAATAAACACACAATCCAACTTTTAACCACACATTTGGACACTGACCATCACTAAGTTGGATTTAATGATGCTCCAATATTGAAGAATGAAGAACATTTGTGAATCTACTCACTAGGTTTCACCGTAATTGCATATCTTCTTTGGCAATTTAATTAACTCTAAAAAAGTAGTATTAACTAAAAATAATATATTCTTAGCATTGCTGCACTTAAAGTACTAGAAAGACTTAGGAGGTGTTTACTTCACTGCTAAAGTCACAGTTAGGTTAGTAAGACAGGTGAAGTAAACACGCACACTGCTTAAAAAGCCGCTTACTAACCGAAAGAGATGCTTAAAGTGCCGCTTATTAAGCATACCACCCCCATGTATTAATTAAGCGGCACTTTAAGCTTTTTCAGTTTCCGAATTTACCCCTTGCCCTTAACCTACTGTTATCCCTGCCCCACCTCGACCCCAACCCCACCTACCTCGACCCCGCCCTACCCTTACCCCACCTACCCTGACCCCAACCCACCCTACCCTAACCCACCCCGACCCCACCCTACCTACCCCACCCCTACCCTACCTAACCGACCCCCACCCTACCCTTACCCCACCTACACTACCCTTACCCTGACCCCACCCCTACCCCGACCCCACCCCACCTACCCTACCCTACCCCACCCCGACCCCACCCCACCTACCCCACCCCTACCCTACCTAACCGACCCCCACCCTACCCTTACCCCACCTACACTACCCTTACCCCGACCCCACCCCTACCCTTACCCCAGCTACCCTACCTTACCTGTCCGACCCCACCCTACACGTACCCCACCCCTACCCGACCCCATTACCAGACACCCCTTACCCTACCTAACCGACCTCCACCCTACCCTTACCCCACCTACACTACCCTGACCCCACCCCTACCCTTACCCCACCTACCCTACCCCTACCCAACCCCACCCCTACCCCTACCCTGACCCAACCCTACCCCATCCTACCCCTACCCGACCCCACCCTACCACTACCCTACCTACCCAATCCCACCCCTACCCTACTTACCTGACCACACACTACCCTACCTACCCCACCCCTTACCCACATACCCGACCCTACCCCTACCCTACCCCTACCCCGCCTCAACCCCCACCCTACCTACCCGAACCCACTCTACCACTACCCTACCTACCCAACCCCACCCCTACCACTACCCGACCCACCCTACCACTACCTGACCTCAATCACCCCACCCTATACCCCTTACCCCACCCCTTACCCCACTATACCTTGGGTGGTGGGGTCAGGGTGGGGCCGATGTGATAGAGGCGCTAGGGGCAGGGTAGGTGTGGTGGGTAGGGGTGGGTTGGGTAGGGTAGGGGTAGGGGCGGGGTTGGGGTAAGGTGGGGTCGATGTGGTAAGGGCCTATGGGGGTAGGGGCCTATGGGGTCGGGGGTAGGGTTGCGGTAGGGTGGGGACAGGTTAGGGTGGGGTCGGGTAGGGGTAGGGTCGGGTAGGTAGGGTAGGGGTAGGGTGGGTGGGGTCGGGGTAAGGTAGGGTGGGTAAGGGGTTAGGGGTATGGGTACACATATTATATTATATACTTGTGTTCATGAATGTTTGTGTGTATATATATATATATATATATATATATATATATATATATATATATATATATATATATATATATATATATATATATATATATATATATATATATATATATAGGGTTATTTTGGACATTTTAATGTTAAGCGGTGTTTTAAACCGTTTGAAGTAAACACGGTCTTACAACATTGTTTATTTTATGCGCCGCTTATTAACACGGGTCTTAATAAGCACCGTTTAATAACCGGTGAAGTAAACATGTCCTTAGGGATCAAAGGAGTTGACTGGGTGTATCATTTGAGATAATGTTATTATCTTCTAACTAATTTCCTACGTGTATTTTAAGGAGGGGAGATGGGTAGAAGTAGGAAATAGGGATGAAAGGGGAGAATATATTCGAATTTGTAAGTATCAGGATCTGCTACGAAAGGTCTAAAAGAATCTAACTAATATCTTGGAATTGCTGGAATTGCTCCTGCAACTATGAGAAGAAAGGAAATGTCTCAGGTCCAAACTTATGAATACGTTAAGAAGAAAAATATCAATTGATTCATTTTTTTTATTGCTCTTTTTGCGGCTGAAAGAGCAAAATGACCCATATTCCAAATCATTCTGTTATCATGCTTCATCTCGCTATGTGTCTAGAGAGAGGAGGGGAGAAAGGAGTAGGTAAGAAAATTAGGATGGCTGGGATTTAAAGTT